AGAGAGAGAGAGAGAGAGAGAGAGAGAGTTTGTGTGTGTGTAAGTGTGTGTGTTTGTGTTCGTGTTTGTGTGTGTGTGTCTGTGTGTGTGTGTGTGTGTGTGTGTGACGTGTGACGTATGTGATTTCATTCTTGTGATACAAATCTTACCTATTAGATCTAGTATAAAATTATATATTTTTTCTACAGTACATAACGATAGGGCCTTATGTATAACCTTGTTCAGACAAGACAAATTGGTTCAAGATACATAATCCGTAGTGTACACATCCATTCTAAAAATAATATCAAGTTATGTCCCTTACTGGTGGCCGCCATTTTCCTCCCGAACAGGAAGGAAGTCAATCAACAATAATCTGTAGACGTCCGTCGTAGCAGTAGACACTGCTCCACTGAGTCGAAGTCACCAGTAACCGTTTGTTTTTGTTTACTCTGCTGATTAGACCTGGCCTAAAAATGGCCTGCGACATGCCATGTATGTCGTACATGGCTCTGTATGTCATTTCGATGCACATTGTCAACAGTAATAGCCGGTCTAGTTCGAGTTCTACTCACTGGAAACTGAATCTGTCAGCAGGTCAGATCTCGTCAAGACTCAATCAAGTGTTTTGTCTTGGGACTGTATCTCTCAGTTCTTGTGTCAGTGTTAGATTGTATTGTTTTTTGTATTTTTACGACCTTTTATGCATAGTCTAGATCTAGATCAAGATTCTAGATCTAGATTATCTAGATCTAGTGATTTGCTGTTTTAATTTTATTGTGTATGTTTCAAAAGAAATCTAGCGAAGGGTGAAAGCTTACTGTCCGGTTTGACCTAAAGTCAGTGACTCTAAACTCTAGATCAAGAGTCTACATCCTTGATCTCGAGTTTCTAGCAATGTCACTGTTTATTTATGTAGCCTACATTGTAGGCTATCGTAGTGTTTTAAATTGCGAAAGAGTGAGTGACGCTATGACAACTAACTTTGCGTTAATTGCGACAGAGTGAAGACGGAGCTCTTTTGGCACTTTTGCGTTATTTCTAGATCTATTCTAATATCATATATTATACCATTTCTGCTTCTCCTAGCGTGGTCCTAGTTATCTGGGCTAGTCTCCGCCTGACAAGATGGAAGGCTTTCTATTTCTAGAGCAGGCATTAAAATCTTACAACAAATTTGACAGCTTTTTGCTGAATTTAAAGATGAAAATTTTGTTGCCTTGGGGAAGAAATCATCTAAAACTGAAACAGTTGTGAAGGCTGATTTAAAGAGTGACAAAAATCCACAAAGACTTTCTGTACAGTAGAGTCGAGGCTACAAATACAGCAAAACATCAGCTGCATACAACAGCATAAAAAACCTCTAGGGGCAACAACAGCAACAACAACAAGAAAAGAGCTGCGACTGTCTCTGTTTGTCTATTAGTTTAGTGTGTGTGTGTGTGTGTGTGTGTATAAGGCCTTAAGTGTGTTTGTGTGTCTGTGTCGAGTACGTGTTTTAGTGTCATAGAGTGCCAGTGTGTAATATGTGTGTGAGTGTGTATTGTGTGATTGTGTGTGCACGTACATGAAATATGTGTGTGTGTGTTCAGTTTTCTTTAAAAATATTTTTTTTTGGTCACAGACTCACTCTGTCACAATTAACGCCACATTATTTGTCATAGAATCACTCTGTCTCAATTAACGCCATGTTAATTGTCGCTGGGTTACTCTGTCGCAATTAACGCTACCTTATTAAATATTATAGGCCTATTCCTTCCACAAACTGTATTTTTTCATTGCGAGGCAGAGTTTTCTTAGTTTCATTTTCAGTTTCTAGATCTAGTTGTTTTAAAAAAAATTGTTTTTACCCTTATTCAGCCTAAGACCAAGTTGACGCTCATTATTTTAAGCCTCTTTTCCTGAAAGGTCTTCCTTACATCTAAATACCCTATTATTATTTATTTTATCTTCAGAGGTAAGATGAGGAAATAGGAGAAAGACTGTTGGAGAGCACTTCTGTAACGAGCGACCACTATGAGACAGAGAAGAATAGAGGGCTAGGGGTAGGGTTGGGGTTAGGTATTGTTTAGGGTTAGAGGTCTCTTCTTTATTGTGTTTGTTGGGGTCGTCGCTCGTTATGGAAGTCCCATAACTGCTCTATTTATATTTTTATTTTTGATTGCATAGTTCTATTTCCAAAATCTATTTTTTATTAGTAAATGCACTACTTAGATTACAACACTAGTTCTAGGCTACTTAAATTAGAATATTGTCGTGGGTAGTTGGCGAGTGCTCTGGTGTGGTTTGCTTCTTCTTTCCTATCAAATATCTATCGTCTTTAAGTTTATCTACCCCTCCTTTTTTGTGTTTGTTGCTCTCTAATGTTCGGCACTTATATATTATTGTGTTGCAAGTGCCATAAAACACTTAATTACTAAAACTAAAACTAGAATATTGTCAGAATGTATGGACTGACTATCCTGTCTTTAACTTTGAAGAAGTGATAGCGTGTGAGGTTGTTGTCTGATGGAACTGGAGAAAATAAACTTGCAATGTTATATAATTATTATTATATTGTTTTTTTAGTTTGACATCTTTTTCTGTGACTTGTTGCCAAGTTTCAAGACTACAATAGTATTTTTTATAAATTAAAACACAATTTTAGGGTAACACGATCCCTTCCCTCTCGATGTGATAGCACCGGTAGTGAGCTCTCGTAAAATTTGTCGAGTGCAGCAATAATTGCTCTTTGTTTTTATCATGATGCTCATGCTCATCATAAATTATAGAATTGTATTTATTATAAGATTGTAGCAAGATCACAAATTTTAGTGTTGTAACTCTCAGATTTGTTTTTTATATGTATAGATCTAATATTTTTCATTTCTCTTCCTTGAATTAATCATCATAAAACTCTGAAAATGAAAGGATTGTTTTCATTCAAAATGCCATTATGATGAAATGTGTAATTTTTTTTCTCACCATAATATATTCAAAATGTCTTGATTTTTACTGCTAAATGTGTCATGACGTGGTGGAATCAGGCGCTCATCAGTTTTTGGGCATATGGGGTTGTTGGTATCATCTTAAAGCCTGTTCATTTGCTTTCCTTTAGCAGGGGAAAAAGTATCCATCTATGTTGAATAGAAGTCGAAATATTTGAGATTGAAGGAGGTCAGGGTCGTCTGGTTTTAGAGGTAAAAAAGGCAAGAAAATTGCTGACAAAATTTGATAGTCAAAACAGACTTTGTGATGTTGAAGCTAGAGAGGTGAGTAGAGTAAGCCTGATTCCCTGTAAAGATTTCTCTGTTGACATCCACCCTTTGGTGCTCATATGACCTATGACCTTATGCAGTTGTGAACGCCCTAAAACCTCTACTAAAACTAAACTAAAGAATTCTTTTTGATGATTTTCTCATTTTGTCTTCTGAACATAATCACAGGCAAGGTAGAGCAAGCCAGTGCAGAGACAGACAGAACCAATGGCTCGGAGAAGGTCAACAACCACAGCAGAAGCAGCGAAGTCAGCGGCCACAACAACTCGTCCAACAGTACGGGTCGCCTTAAGGGTCAGAAAGAGGATTTTGAAGAGAAGATGATGGACATTTTAACCAACAAAGTGATGTCGGAGGGAGACTGGGTCGTTGCTCCGCCTCAGTTGGATGTTAATGTTATTGATGTTGATCCTGAATACTCTGTTCCAAACTGTGATACTTCTTCCAAAAACTGCAAGGAGAAAGATTTAAAGCAAAGGTGAGAAACACGGACAGGAAATATTCTTGTTGTTGCTATCAGTCCTGCATTGTACTGTGTTTTTTCTCATGTCTCCCCCCTAACTTGAAGTGACCGAGGTGACAGTTCTATTCTCATATGTGTCACTCCACAGAAGTGGTTACCATTTTACACACCGCTAAATATTTTTGCCTTTATTACTTTATAGTGTCGCTGCCAGAAGTAAAAATGAGTTAGTGGATGGTTGGCAGGTGCTCTGGTGTGGTTTGCCCCTTCTTTTCTATCAAATGTCTTAAATCTCTTCTTCTTTTTTGTCTATGTCACTCGCTTACAAAACTTCTAAACTTCAGCACTTACACGACCTAATTGTGTTGCAAGTGCAGTAATACTCTTGCTAAAATTAAAAACGAGGTTAACTCCCAAGGTTATAAAGCTCACCCTGTCAGCTCACCCTGTCAGGGTTTAAAGAAGTTAATCGTTTAGCCACAGCATGGCCATATATATGTACAGTAATGCTTGATGTGGCTTGCTATAAGTGTTGGAGATTTTTTCTTGTAGGAATGAATGACACCATTCTCAAGTATTCCAGTGTTTGTAGACTCAAATAATCATAATAGCTCTCCTTTCATGTAGTGTTTTATTTTTATAATGGTAAAATTTTAAAAAGTTTACAGTCAAACGTGCTTTAACTTTAAGAGACACCTTTATAAAACAATCACCTGTACAAATGGCTACTTCCAATTCGCCCCTTGTGTCTTTTTTACATTATAATATTATTGTGTAAGACACCACCTGTTTAAGACAGCCATTTTTCTTATCGACAATTGGTGGTCATCATCGATAACTTTAACACTATGTTTAATTATCTTCGTTGAATTCCCTGTCATTGCCAGAGGGATCAGAATCATACTCCTCACCTTATTATATTGTTTGCCAGTGTTAGTTTTACAAAGAGACTTCAAAGAAATTGTAGGTCACTTTTTAAAGTTTATTTTCCTGGGACTGATAACTCATATGTTCACGTAGATCAAAGAATGGCCTCCAATTTCCTATGTAGTCCTGTTGATAGATGTTTTAACTTTAACCCCCTCCCCCCACCTTCCCCCAAGCCAATTATGTGATGTGCTAAGGTTTTTTTTAAATCTTCAGATCAAAAACCTCATCAGAATCCATCAATACGAAATCAGAATCAACAAAGAAACTGAAGCCTTTGTCTTGTGGCAAAAAAGTGAATGCCACGCTTTATGACCACTTAAGAGGTGAGTGACGATCTGCTCACTTTGAGGGGGTGGTAGGGGGAGAGGAGGGTTGCGGCATGCAGGTCCTACTTCCTTTCTTTCCCTGTGTTGTTTCAGTTTGTCTTGAGTTCTTTCAGCACGAGATGACTTTTTGTGTCAGTGTGTTTCACTTGACTCGAATCGACGAATGCCTCGCTCAGACAGCTGTCAGGTGTCGCGTATTATTCACACATTCACCGAAATTTAGCTTTTTGTCAAATGATGTAGAGTAGTGTAGGAATGATAGATGAAACTCTTTTGTCACTAAAGATAATAGTATTTGTGCAGTATTGGTCTTTTTAAGTACTGTAATTCTTCATCTTCTTCTCGATCGCATCGCGCTTGAAGACCAGCATCTATTACATACTGACTGGTTCCGCTAAGCTCCTCTGCTGGCCCGCACAGCTTCTCCTGTAATGTTAAGTGTGTTGGCCACATTTCATGTTTTAGGGCCGTCTGTGTCGTGCTGTTAGAGTGTTAGCGGGTGGGTGGTTGACAGATGCTCTGGTGTGGTTTGGTCCTTCTTTCCTATCAAACATCTATTGTCCTTATCTGGCCTCCTTCTTTTATGTGTTTGTCACTTTCTTGTAACTCCTCTAACCTTCTGCTCTTATACAACCTTATTATGTTGTAAGTACCATAAAAACTCTTACTTATACTAAAAACTAGACAGTCTTTGGTTACAAAGAAATTTTTATGTTTTCTTGTTTCGGAAAAAATTCTTTAGAAGGAATTGTTATCCAATTTTATGCAGAGTGTCACCCCTTTTCACTGCTGTTATTTGTGTGTGTGTGTAATGCATTATGTTATGTTGCTCTGTGTCACCCCTCTTCACAGCTGTTATTTGTGTGTGTGTGTGTGTGTGTGTGTGTATGTGTGTGTTATGCGTTCTGTTTCTCTAACGCTGTACAATTTCTCTCTGGCCAGGCGTGTCAGAAAGACATTTACACTCCAACATTCCGGAGCCAGATGTTGCCATGGTTTTCAAAAACAGCGGCAAGTCCTCGGAGGTAGACATGAAAGAGCTGGAACAGAAGCTGAGGAAAGCTAAAAAAGACATAGAAAAGGCTGGACCTAGTCAAGTAAGTGCTTGTCCCTTGTTACGAACCCAAGGGACTTTGGGTTTTTGGAGGGAGGATTTTTTTATTTTTTTTTGTTGTTGGTTTTTTTGTAATGGTGATGGGGGGACGGAGGGTGTCTGTAAATTTATTCCAGACATGAGCAGACTACAACCTGGTAGCAGAATTTTGTTCTGGCCTAGGAGTTAACGCTGTAATTAATCATCCTTGTAGGCTGTTGTGAGTTGACAATTATTAATAAAAAATAAAAGGAGTGTCTGTCCTGAAAATTAAAACCAGTAGTTTGTGGCCAAGCTGGAAGCAATACATAATGATAATA